TGAAGGACAGGAAGGCCTGGCGCAATATGGTTCATGGGGTCACGAAGAGTCGGACACGACTTAACGACTAAACAAAAACAACAACAAGACATCTTATGACCAGGCCTCAATTTTCTTTTCTCCTTCTTTTTTTAATAAAAAAAAGACCTCTAAAAGAGTAAAGCCATGTTATGATGCCACTAAAGCAGTTACAGTCAAAATTCTCACCATTTTGGGGAGAGAAAGGAGAGCTATCCCTTAATCGTGAAACAGAGAACTACCCACTGGCGTCTTTAAAAGAGCTACTGGGCTGCATGTAGTCCACCCATCCTTGACTTAGCAGAATGTGTGAAGTAGGCTACTACATGGGAGATATGCAGTAAAGATCTATGGATGGTCTCTCAAAATAAGTGCCCCTAAAGTTAAAAACAGATTACTTGGTAGCAAAAGTGGTGAGGATTTTATATTTGGTTGTACATACTTAAATTAATGGAATTTACTCCTGAATAGTAATGCATAAGACTACATTGTTAATATTTCTGGAAGACTGCATTAGTGTATCCAGAAAATTTGGAGGCTGCAATAATCACAGGGATGCATTACTGCAAAGGTGGGCATGGAAGGCAGGTTTAGGGGTTGTAATTTAGAAACCCAACTTTCCAAGGTTCGAAAGTAACATCACTGGAAAGGAAGTGACATCACCAGACCAGGCACAGCAGAATGAACTTTCAGTTGGATTTTAAGGGGGGTGATGAGAATACGAGGGTTTCCCACTCTCTTAACATTGCAGAAAAACAAAAAATCAGGCTGAAATTGGCCTAAAAAACACATTACTTTTCATTAGGGTGGGAATGGGAGCAGAAGGCCTCCTACATGTAGGGCATTTTACCACTGAAATTCAGCAGCAGAAAGTTGGAGCCTGCATGTGAGTTACTGAACACAGTCACCTCCATTTCTGTGCTTGAGAGCCAAGCAGACTTCAATAATCTGGACGCCTAACTCATAGTAAAAATCTCCGACACCCAACATTTCTGACCAGAATCCTTTACCAGCTGCAGAAAAAGAACAAAAGATGGACATTAATATATTAGAAACAAACTGAGCTATGCATTTTCCCAGAGACCCCATTTTGAAACGTACCATTTAAAGGAAAAAAAACCCTAAAGTCTCCTAGTCCTCAAAAGGGAAATAATAACTGCCTTCCCTTAGGCCATGGAAAGGTGTTTGCTGCCTGATGCCGATCCTTTTATCCATATCTGGACATTTCCTACTGGAGCGGGTAGATACGGAACAGCTCACCTTGCTGCCCATGGTGACAAGGAATTCTATGTACATGAATAGAAGCTGATGAAGGATGGAATAAACCAGTGTTTCTCAACCTGAGATGTGCAGACATTAACTCCCACAATTCCCCATCCCAGAGTTGAAGTCCACACATCTTAAAGTTGCTGAGGTTGAGAAACACTGGAATAAACAATATGATTTCATTCTGCCATCCACCTGGTTTCTTTGTTCAGCTGCATCCCTACTTTGTCAGTCTCCTTGGTAGGAAGTCATTTTATTATCTTCATAATCCAGCATTTCCACATAATTTCCCTCTCCTCTAAGGCCTTTAAACCTTAGCATGATGATTTAGGGGAAAAAACGCTGAAGACTAGTCACACTTGTGGACTGATCTGCTGATAAAGCTCCTTGACCATCTCTTTATACTAAACTTACTTTTGTTGGCTGTAAATAACACTCAGCACAGAACATTTTTATACTTAAAGCACAGAGGAGACCAGATATTGCTTAATTCCCAATACCTCCAGCTACTGAGGCTAATCATGAGGTGTTGGGTGCTGTAATTCAACATCAACTGGAGGGCAACAGTTCCCCCATCAAAGATTTCCACTCCTTCCCCATTTCTTACAGGCTAGTGGATCAACACCAATTGTTGCACACATATCCTGGAACTGGACTCTGAATTCAGGATTTTTACGGATTTCTTGTTTGTGTTTACTAGCAAACTCTTCTAGGTTAGTTTTAAACATGTCCAGCTGTTTAGACATCTGTAAATGTATTTGGAAAAGACAAAAGAGAAAAAAATTAACTGGTTTGAAATACTACTACTAGACTCTCTTAAATAACCTTGCGCCTTCCACACAACACATTACACAACAATGTGGGGTGAATCCTGCAAAGAAATGATTAATACCAGTTTTCAAAATATTGCTTTAATCCAATGGATTATCTATCCTAATATCCAAGCTACTAAGATTGACCAGGGTTTATAGGAAGTGTGCAAATCTGAAAATATTACTATTACACACCTTCTACATAGGACTCTTCTAAGCCTTTCCCCCAAGCTCCTGATACTCCTGATCATTTCAACACCTGTGTTATTGAGTATACATTATATACACATTCTGCACAGAAGCTAAGAGTTACAGCCTAGGATTAGAGCTACACAGATATCCTTCCAATTCCAAAAACAAATGTAGGCATTTTCTCATCTCACCTGGGCTAACTGGTCTTCAGCCAAAACTGTACCACGTTCCTTATATTTGGCCTACAAAGAAAAAGAAGTCATTAGTTTTTAATATTTTTATTATTTTAGTCATATTATGATTATGTGCAATTAAATTGGTGTCAACTCTCAGTGACCACATAGATTTTCTCCATTATATATTTTGATACTGAAGTCTTAATATTTTTACCAGATGAGAACATCCTTTTTCATAGATATTTATATGAGGCCTTGCTAGCTATGTTTGCATAACATACTAAACACAGTGGCTATGTTCATGTAACATGCTAAGCCAGGGCAAGCAAACCACATTCTGATATAACATGATGGTGTGTTTCACATAACATGCTAAGATTCAATGTGGTTTGATTTTGGCACAGTCACTGTTGTCTGTAGACAAAAAGTCTGTGGCTTAGTATGTTGTGCAAACACAGACACTGAGAGTGACTTGTCCATAGGAGGTTAATTTGCTAAACAACTAGAGCCTGTAAGATCAGTACTATCGCCCCCCCCCAAAAAAAACAATTGACAGTTGTTCCTGTAAGGATCATACTGGACAGACCAATTCCCTTTGAAAGACGTGGTCTTGAAGGTACCTGGGAGTCAAGCCATATCAAACTTCTAAAAACCAGCTTAAAAACAGCATGTTGAATTGCACTGGAAAATATCATAAACCAATGTAGGATTCATAACACAAAGGTAATATGCCTATAGCAACTTTTAACTCACAACCAGGTCACATTTTGCCCCAGGTGCAGTTTCCAAGTGGTTTTCAAAGGCAGCCCCATATAAAGTATATGAGTCACTCTCACCAAGGCCTCCCACTCCAGCCAGTGTATGGGAGTCAGTGGCGACATCTAGCCAACCCTGGCTGATCTCAAAAACCAAAACAAGGATAGACCTGATTAGAACATAGATAGGAGGCCACCAGCAAATGTCAAGGCTATAGGTTACATTGGGGAGTTGAAAATATCCTGGAAGAAAACTAAGGCAAACCACATCCATAACACTGCCAAGGACACATACATGAAGTCATCAGGAGTTGACCTCTACTCAAGGTAGTCTTTAATCTGGCAAATCCAGCCAGATAATACTTAATATAGTATTTTGGGATGTACCATAAAATATTGAGAGTTATTAGGAAAAAAACAGATGGTTAGAAAAGTGTCACCTCTCAATTTAGGAATTAAGCAGTGCCTCTTTCCCTTCTGCAAGGCAAAGCTAAGTATCAGTCCTTCCAAGGTATGGATCATTAACAGAAAAAAGGGGATGTAAGCATTTTCAGGGATGAGGTAAGAAACAACGTGAGGTGGACTAGCTTTCTGGAACAGGAAGGAAGCTGATTTAAATTGGCAGCAAGCACTAGCAATGAATAAGAAATTATACGAGTTAATTCATAGCACAATAATTACTGCAGAGGAATATACCTCTGGGCATGTGCAAAGTATCTCCCCCTAGCCATTCTCTAGTCCCCTTCAACCCTCACCCCGTCCTTCTCACCACTTCGATGTACAATATAAAAACAGGCCCTTTCCAGAGGCAGAAAAGGCCTACCAGAAAACTCCCAGCACTTTTCGCAAAGAAATGAAATCCTTCTCTGGAGAGGCTGGGTAAGAGCGGGAGAAGGAAAGCGGGACTACTGTAAGTGGAGGGAAAGGAAACTCAACTGAAGGAAAGGACCTCACCTCTGCCAACTTTTTTTTGGCGATGGCGCCGGCCCCCACGCCCCGGCGGTGCATCTTTGCACGGGGGTGGGGAGGGGAGAAGGAGAAAATAGTCTTTGGACCTGAACTGGTTTACGAAGGAAGGCAGCGCGGGACAGAAGCAACCATATTAGCAACCCCGCCCCTCTTCAGTACGTCATCGGCGTGCGACAAACAGGAAGTACGTCTAGGGCTGATGATTTTCTTCACCTCCGTCACTGCTCTGACAAATAAGAAGCTGTTTGACTTGAAAGGGAGAGGGTTTCTCCCGCTTTATTTGTCTGACACTGAAATCCTAAAAGGGAACGGAGGATAAAGAGAGAAATCTTCGCCAATGCCCTTGTGACATCTTCAGTCAGCCTCCCCCAACATTAAGCTGTCCAGAGGTACTGGACTACAACGCCCATGATTCACAGCCTTCCGTGTGGAGACTATAACAGTCCTGGTGGACGTCAGCCGGGGAAGGACGCGCAAGACTATAATGATAAAGAGCTGGCACGCTTTCGGGTCGACCTGTTGAAAGTCCGAAAATAGCAACGATAATACTGTAATAGGTGCTCAGATGTCAAAATTACACCACTGCTTGCTGGCAAAGGAAAACTATTCTTCTCTCCCAAGTTCAGTCTTCTCTCTAAGTGTTGGGCTTTACATTCACACGGCATTCAACGTCAACAAGTAAAGGAGCAGGATGTAGCTGTAGCCTCCAATAGTTTTGAGAAAGGGTTAGTTTTCCTAACATGAAAGAGGTTAAAATGTGGTTGACTAATTTTTGGTTTAGTGTGTTGTGTGAATCCAACTAGTGTGGTTGGTTTATGGTTCTGTATTTTGTGAACTCAAGCAATTGGGATAATTGAATAAAATATGGTCCAGCTTACCATAGTTTAGCACATTGTAGAGACACAGCCATGGTGACAGTTGTGAGTCTTCTTGAACCTAGAGCTCTCCAGATGTTTTGGGACCTTAAGACCAAACTTCAAGTTATCCAACACATATGGAGAGTGCCAATCTGGGGAAGGATACTGTTGAATAGTACCTCACCTCAAAGTTTATAGGCTTGTACAATCCCCTTGCACTTAACCATGGCCTAATCATTTCTTGGCAACATCACTTTCTTGCCTTGACCCTGTTATTAGCTATGCCCATGTCTTTTTCTTGTGTAAACTATCCCACCACATCTTCAAGATGTGTAAAATCTGTAATACTTTGTCCCCCATTATCTATAAGGCAGTCAGCTGTCACTGCCTTGTTGTGAATGTGCTTGGAGGTGTGCTTTGGATGCTCCAGGCTGTTGTGAGCATGCTCCGTTCCTTCAGGTGACAGGCCAGCCCCCACTAAAGCCACCTCTTTCTCAGCATTTGTCCTCTCTATCTGCCCTTTGCTTTGTGTTCCTTTCATATTCCTTATCCTATCCTTGACACCAGCTTCTCTTCAAGCTTCTAGCAAGGGAAAGGAGACAGAAGTAGAACTCTGCTGCTTTATTTGAGGAAGAAGAGGGTGCTTATTTATACTAATCTGCTTTCACAATATTCTGAAATGTATTCTATTTATTTGGAGATGCAGAAGCCCAACTTTTCCTCACTGCAGTGTCCAGAGAATGAGGGAGATTTTTGTTGCTTATTTGCAAATTTATCTGCATTTGTCAATTTCCATGATACTCTATTTCTCTCCCATATTGTTATTGTTTATCAGGCTAATCAAGGATCTGACTTTTCCATAACCTCAGGTCAATTGTCTAAATCTGAACTGGTGTTTGAGATGAAAGTTAGAAGCCCCAAATTATTTGGGAGAGTAATTACTGCATTAGGAATGGAATGTGAATCTCCTTGCAGGATTTCATCCACTGTCTCTAATAGCTCACCAATTAACAAATAGATTAGCAAAACATGTAAACTGACCTTTTAGATCAGATCCCCTTTAGTTGGGTTGAACTACAACCCCCATGAGCATGCTGGCTGGGAATGATGACCAGTACTGTGGTCTTTAATAGGAGTCTCATATCCCCATTTCTGTTCTCATTGAATAACAAGCTAAATCATTTCTTGGCTTGAGAATAAATGATTTATTGTCAGTGTCAGCATTGACAAATTCATTAATAATGGGTACAAAATGGAAAGTGCAAATTGAGAAAGGAAAAGTAGATCCAGCTTCTTCTAGGGAGCTACTGAGTCCTGAAAAAATAGAAATGAAGATGGTGAAAAATCGAGCTTGGTAATAGCCTGATGATGTGATGAAAAAAAGACAGTGTATGATCAGTGCAACCATTATCATCTGTATCCCATAAACCGCAAACAAATTTGCCCCTTTGAATAGTTTCAAAATATTGGTTGAATGAAGCTTCTGCAAATAACTACAGTAAACAGCATTCGTCCCCCACTCCACTTTAGAGTAATAAATATATGATTACTGATTAGCAGCAGTGAGTAACATCTGAGAATTCCTGCCACACATATTTTGACTGTAGACCTCTCAGTAGACAGGATACTCATTTTTCAGTGCAAGACCCAGGAAAACTACCATATAGCTTTTATGTACAGCTGAAGTGGTCCTGGTCTTCAGAACAAGAGGATGGGAACAAAGGGTGATTCACTCACATTAGCCTACAGAGGTCAGCAAAAATCAGCCACACCAGAAATTCTTGCCTCTGGATGTTCTTCCATTCATCCGAATCCATTGGCAAAGGAAGCCTACAAGAGAAAGACTATGGAATCTCAGAGATCAAGACAAACAAAAGAAAATAATGAAAGAGTTGTTAATTTGTTGGATGAAACTGAGAGAAAAAAAATCCAAAATGCCTAGTTGCCTAGGCAACTAAAAATATTAGACCAGCACTTAGGAATATGGAGTGCCTTTCGATATGCAGAGCCCATCGGGGCATTTCTTAAGAATTTTATACTTGGTAGCAATTTTGGCCTACAGCATTTAGAAGATGTTTGGAATAAGAACAGGGGTAGATAAAAGCAGATTGGCATTTGTTTGGGGGGAAAAGCATGTTCAAAACAGCCATCAATTTGCAATAGTGACTGCTGGATGAACTGTGGGATCTATATCCTTAACACAACTAATGAAACGCTTCTAAAAATTAACTGTAAAAATTAATTTATTTCATCATTCCACACAGAAAAGTGCTCAAAAATATAAAATACACAATGTGAATAAATGAATTAAAAGATAATACAATAATTACAAAATTCCTGGAGAAAGTGTATCTATGTGGTCACTAAGAGTTGACACCAACTTGTAATCAATCAGTTACAAACATCAAACAATCTGTAACACAAAAGACAGGAGAAAAACAATTCAAGAGCCTAAATTAAAAGCTATACTTTTACACTCCCTCTGCACACAGGAAGAGTGGAGTTTAAGCCCAAATAAATTGTCTCAGCAAATATACAAAATATGTGTTGCATATGTCACTTTTCTGACATTTTATTTTCTGACTTTCCTGACTTTTCTTTTGCCTAGCTGAACCGCTGTTCAAAAATGAAAGTGTATGGAAAAGAAATCAGACTGGAACCAAGCTCATTCTTAAAGGAGACTGTTTTAAATGTAAAAAATCAGGAGGAATTTTGTAGCATCTTCTCTGAATAATGCATTTTATTAAAAGGCATAAGTTTTCATGAGCTGCACTCACTCCATCAGATGCTGTGAATGTAGCAGCTTTGCTTGTCACACAGGTGGACGACATTCGAGGAGGGACAGGAGGGAGAAATGTCATCTGTCCTCCACCCAAAGGCAGATACCTCCCATCCCTCCCTGGACATTAGCTGTTTTAAGTCTCAGGGCAGAATGGGAGAAGCCAGGAAAAATTTAATCTGAAACTAATGTCTCCCTATAGCCTCAAATTAAAATTTGGAATTTCCTGGAAATTTAGAAAATAGAAGAAAAAGTAAAACTAATTGTTAAAAATATAACATATTCTACAAAGGCTGGATGAAGCTTGGGAGATAGCTTTCTCAAAGGATAGTCTCTGGGTGATTTTTTGCAGGTAATATTTTGTTCTAGGTTCATAGGAACAATACTGTACCTGCCGTATTCTGCTAGTTTGGAATCATGGCAGTAGTAATAATTCAGGCAGATTTTTCATGAGCATTTTAAGAATCCAGGAGTTTTGTCTGAAACAGCCTTAAATACTTCTGTCTGATTCACACCACACACAAAATCAGGAATAGACAGACTTGTGTCTTTTAGATCTTTGGACTAACTCCCACAGTTCATTGCTGCTGATGAAACTGGCTTGAGGTGTTGGGGTTTAATACCCATGCATTAAACCATGATGTGATTTCTTTGGTGGGGCTTAGCATCTGGTATGATCTCAGCCACTGTAGTTTGTAGACCATGGTTTTGAGAGCCATTGTAGTGATGTTAAAATACATTGTGTTATTGCAATCATAGACTTCCCACAATCAATATCTCTCTTTCCTCATGCAGGTTGATTGGCGATGACAGTAATTGCAATCCAAAATAAGTGGGGGGACTGTGCTAGGGGAGGCTGGTTTTGCTTCTAATCTGGAATGCAAATGTTTCTCCTGTAATAAAGTAAAATCTTTGGTGGTTATCTTTTCTCACCTCTGCTTTCCTATGTTTTGCAAAAGCCATCCAACGTAGCCCTTTGCTTCCTGAGATCCAGCTTCATTGCCTTGATTCCTTGCATCTGACATTGTGGCGTCAGCTTTTCTCTTGGATGGTTCAAGGTTCTTCCTGGAATGCAGAGGGGTTCAAGAGGTTTAACTTGGGAATTCTAAGGAGTGCCATTCCAATATGTGTCTACTAATTTATACCCCACTTTCATCCAAGAGCTAAAGGCAGTATACATATTTCTCCTCTCATCTAATTTTATTCCCACAATAGTCCTTGCAAGGACATCCAGAGTGTTTCAGGGCTGAGCAGAGATCTGAACCCTGCATTTTCCCACATTTAATCCAATCCTCTATTATCTTCACTAGTTGCTCTCTGTCTAAAACAAGGATAGATGATTTTTTTTTTCCTCTGGAGACATACTTGTTTTAGGTTTTGGGGTTTTATTTTTAAACAACAAAAGAGCTCAGGGGGTATGGTGATGTTATAATTACAGTATATCATCTCAAGGATGGGTACAGTGAAATTTTTGTATCATTTGTGGTGACTTAAGAGTATCTTTAAAGGTTAAGAAATGTGTTAAGGCTACTTGTGGATTAGGATATCTATTTTACTTTATTTTCAGTTAAAAATCAGCAAAAAATACATCACTGTTCAGCAGATCTCAATATCTCTGGAAGTATTGAAGCTTTGGGCTGCTTCTGATCCATAGGCTGAATTTTACCCATCCTTGTTATATCACTTCAGTTCTGAAAACCCCATCTCTCTTTATAGCTATCCATCTGATTTTATCACATTATGTTCCCTCTTACTTCTGGAAAGCTCATGTACCATTCAAAGAGGTTATTCCATTTAAGAATCATAATGACCTCAGCAGAAATGTGAACTCGTGTCGGCCCATGAGTTTGGCACTCTGTCCATGAAGCCACACTAAAAATGTATGAATTCTTTCTCTCTTTAAAATATGTCTAGAATAGTTTTGGGTGTGAATATTTTGTGAAGTTACAACATTTAATCATAACTAGAGCTTGGTTTACCTTGCAGGACTTTCCTAACCACTGAAGCTCAATTTAGAGTTCCATAAAATCTGAGCTAATGCCAAGGTCACCTCTCACCTATTAATTTCATTTTTCTTTTTATATAGATGAATTATTTCTACCAATTGCATTAAGAGGTAATCTGAAACAGTTCATACTAGCAATTACTTTCTGGTATACTCATAAAATGAATTAAAATAAATGTGCACATACAGTACAAGTCTTGGACAATGGTGCTCCCCAGATAAGAATCTGGGGTGAGAAGTTCAGGACCCTATCAAGAGGAGACAATTGTAAGGCTGGCTAACTGCATTTTGAGACCCCACAATAATATCATTAAGTCTAATTCATTATATTAATTAAAGTTTAAAATGGCTTTGCTGCATGAGTGATTTTATTTATCTCCAGGCTAGAGCAGCAATAGATACCATAATGCATCCCAAAAATGCAAAAAAAAAAAAAAAAAAAAGCAAAACCAAAACCAAACCAAAGCAAAACAAAAACAAAAAAAAGGCCAAGATCTAATGAGATGGTCCAAGTTTGAAATATTCATAATTTGAGTCCTAGGATCTTACATATTCTTTTACAAGATCGCATAAGACTTTGGTCATTTATAATTTTAATTGAAAATGACATATTTAATTTTGTGGATTCACAGACACCATCCAGAGAAGTTGCAAATGCCTTATACCACTATTCTAACTGTGTCACTGAACCATAGTGGACATTTTCTACAAAAGAAAAGCATATTGTATGCATGAAGCACGTTGTAGACTTTTATTAATTTTTGGTTTACAAATCAAGGTTTATTTTTAAACCTTTCATACCAACATCTAGACATGTGAGGGCATCAATTACCATAATGGGTGGAGAATTCTGAGTTGAAGCACCAAATTGGGGAAGACTGATATTGAACATACATTTTAGCTGAAGTAAGTCTTTTCCACCTTAAATTCATTTCTCCAATGTTACAGGGCACATTATATATTAAACTGGCTCATTTTTAACACTGCTATGAAGTAGAAAAACAATCATGAGCTTCTTAAATTAATTTCCTTTTCTCACGTGCCCACTCAACTTTTCAAGCTACAGGTTGACTAATATACTCCTTGGAATCCTGGATAAACAGAAACAATCTGTGATATTGACTTACTCAATCTTATTCTCCCTACTGTTCAAGAGCCATTCCACAAAGTTCTTCTTCAGCATGTTGTCCAAAGTTCGACTGTAATCACTTGCTAAAGTTCCCTCAGAATACCGCCTTTGCAGAAACGTGGAGTTCCTTAGATTTTCCCTAAGAATACAGAGGAAAACACACGGGCTGACTTTGCACTTTGCATCAAGATATGGTCTGCACAACTATGGTTTCTTGAATAAAACACAGTTGGCTGGGTTTGCCCTGCATGGTAAGCTAAAACCAAACCCTTTATACTTAGCACAGTGAGTGAACCTAATCATCAAGTATGCCCTGTGAGAAATCAGTTCCTCCTTTGCATTTGGGGAGATAAGTCTTCTAATAATTTATTGTTTCAATCATGGTTTGCCACATTTGGATGGCATGCAGGGAAGTACAAAAAGGGAAAACCATTCCTAAATCTCCAAATGATCATTTGGAAGATCATCTGAATTCAGCTTTAACATCTGAGACCAATACTTGGTCTTCGCCCAGAGTTGTTGAGAGTCGGCATTCAAATTTAATAAATAACAATAATAATTACTATTATTATTATTAGGATCTCCTTTTAATTTAAGTACCCTTTCACTTACTTGCAGATCAAGGCAACCCATTTAAAAAACTAACCAAGGTTAAAATCAGTCAAGCTTAGTATGTTCTACAGATGGAGCTGCTAGATCTTTAGATGCCCTGGTTAAATATGTTGGGTGAATATGCCATTCTGAAACATATTTCAACACATGCAGTATGGAAATATGTTTGAATAACCAAGAGCTGCATTCCAACATGGGTAGAAAAGTGAAATCCAGTTTGATTGTTCAATATTGATGCACCAGTAAGTTCCTAATGGAACTGGCAAAAAATGCATTATCAAAGCATCCCTCTTTGTGTATTTACCTGATGCCATTTTCTTCCATCAGCACAAAACTGAGGGAGACCAGAAGCAGGGAGAGAACCTTGAAGGCTACCATGTTCACAACTGGAGCTCTGCAATTTGAAATCATAGGAGACAGAAAAAGAAATTCCTCTGAACTAGAGTTCGAAGGGATTATTTCTACTATGGATTTTCCAATGTATACTTTTCAAGAAGTTGCATACAGAATTATAGTGCAACCTTATGGGAAGAATGTACAATTGCCTGTGCTAACAATAGACAGAGTGAGGCAGGTGCCCCAGATGCTAGGGCCCCTTGGCTATTCTTCCTGAATTCCTGATTGTTCTCCTGAGCCAGCCTTCTACAGTCTAGTGCCTTCCAGATGTGTTAATTTCAAATTCTATAAATCTCAGCCAACACCTGGCTAAGAATTTGGCAGCTGAAGTCCAGCCCATCTAGTCATGAACTTCAGATGAAGTAAAGGACTCTACTCCCTTGCCAACGTTAAAAATAAGATTCCAGTACAAATATCATTGTCTTCTGTATGTAGAATGGGAAGGTAGATGCCACCTTGACCTTTGCCCAAGGCTTAAAATTGTCTTGATCAGTACTTACAGTCATCCATGTTTATCAGCAGTTATTATCTTTCTACGCAGCAAGTTGTATTCCTACACACACCAGCACGTGGCATTTATGAGGTGCTCTTTTGCTCCTTAAGTGCATGGATTTGGGAGGGTAAAGCAAGACTATTTCAAACTGCATTCTGTGGAGGTAACAACTGCCCACATCCATGCTGTACCAAAAACTTCAGCACTTCTTTTAAACTATTCTTATTCAATCTAATGAAAGGAAAATACTTTCAAAGCATTGGTAAAGAAGGAAAAGGTAGTGAAATTGTGGGATATAGTGCTGTTCCATGTACATTAGTTATGAAATGGCTGTGGGCTGTTGTTGTTTCTCACTGTATAATCTAGGAGTGATTATTTTGCTTATTTAAATGATAGTAAGCCAGCCCTCTGTCTTTTGGAACCCATCTGCTCATTCTACTACTAGAAGCTAGGGGCTGCTAAGCTAAACTCCTGTTTAAGGGCACCACTAACTAGGTTATACTTACTCTGTGGAAAGACTATTGTAACTGCTGCCCGGCTGAGAAATTCTGCTGCACATTTTTCTTATTCAAGTGCTAATTCAATTTAAGGAAAGAAATTTTGCTTTAAATTAAAAACAACAACAACTGAATTCTGGATACATTGTCATGGGTAGCATGTGCTGTTCCTACTCTTATTTCATTATCATTTGGGTGAGAGGTGTGTATGAATATCCTGTCTTTCATTGGACGATCATCTGTCCAGGGGTCTGCAGGCTCCTCTCCCTTCTGTTGTATCTCAAGGGAAGCGTTCAATGAAAGAATCTTCTCATTGGACTTTTTCTAGTGACAGCAGTACTGTCATTGTTGAGTTCTGTCTGGAGAAATGGTTGGATTCACTCTCTTCCCTCGGGAAAAGTGGATACATTGTTCACTTGGTTTCTCTGACCACATCTTTAGTGAAGAATTTGAAAGGCCATTTGTGTCCAGTTCTAATGTTCATGTAGTTACCCGATTTGCTAGACAGTGACCTAAGCTTCAAATATCTGCCCAGAAGGCCTTCTAGCTAAGCTGAAAGTCTGAAGGTGAATGGTTCTTCCCTTTGAGTAGATTCTGAAGCTGCTGCTGGTAGCTAATGCCACTCCATGAACTATATCTAAGAAGACCTCAGACTTCAGTATCAAACATGGATCTGAAGGTGTCATGGAAAAGCCATTGGAGGGGTGGGATTTAAAGTGGGGCAATAACAATCTGGAAACCTCACCTCCATCTCCTCCATCACCTTCACCACCACTGTCACCTCTCTATTTCAAATCTTTTTCTTCCACTTTCCAAAGGGCCATCAAGCAACAGCAATATCTGTTGGGGCGGAATCTGGTCCTCTGACAGCTAAAATGAAAATTTGAGAACCTTACCTGGCCAAGGTGCTCTGCATAAGTAGAGAGGATCTGGCATCCAGCAACAACCCCGAGATTCCTTATATACCCAAGGGTATGACAAAGCAAACCATTTCCGTATGAACAACACAGGAAGCTCAGCACCTAATCAAACTAGATTAAAAGCAATTTAGGCCAGCTACTCTTAGGTTCACTGACCTTTGGAGCATGAAAATGCCCTTTTAAATTATGTTTGTATTCCTGGCAATTAAACTTTTGCTGTGTTGCTAAAATGAAGATCCGGTGCATTTTCTATAATTAAAGCCATTAAGCATCCAGATTTCCCCACAACCACTCTTCGGTTAATTAGCAGAACCTAAGGGACCATGCCAGTATACTTTGTCCTGGCTGAGACAATCTCGCATTTGGGCTGCTTCTCTTCTCTTACTTTAGCCTGCTATCTTTCCAGCTGACAACATGACAGATGGCTCAACTGTTGACCCAGCAGCAGGGAGTACAAGTAGGGTATCAAGGGGTCTGTTGGAACCATGTTTTCAATATTTGTTATGGATGCATACAAAGTTGGAAAAGTGATTGTGAATCCCTAATGGTACTTCTTGCCATTTTATTTTATTTTCTACAACATAGCATTCTCACAGCAACTAAATAATAAGCATGTGTTTTATATTAATTTTCTACCAATTAAATGACTCCCCCCCCGCTATTTTTAAATGTTAAAATTCTCTTAATATTTACATTCCTTGCTTCCTTATATACAGTAAATAGGCAACAGTAAAGACATGGAAGGAAGAAGAGAGGCAGCAGTGGCAGCAGGAGGCATACTCCAAGAGAGAAGGTTGGCAGTAGGACAGGTAGTTCAGCAGGCAGGTACAGTGGCCGCTAAAAGAGAGGGACCGGGGTTTGGGATTTGGCTTTGCCCATGCCCCTCCAACTGATGGCATCATTTGTCCACTTCAGGATTGCCCCGAGCTACTTTATTAGTTCATGAAGAACAACAGGATACAGGTCTGTTCCACATGGAGAAATCAACAAGGTGGCAACTGTTACTGGAAAACTAGGCTGCCCCTGCAGGAGACCGTAGAGTTGCTCTCCCTGAAACAGAGGATGATTTTAAAAAGAGAACCGTCCTCTATAATGTATGGTCCTTGCTACTCTATTCTTTTTCCTTCCCAAATCACAAGTTTGTGACCAAGTGACATCCCTGTACTTTGTTCCCTAGGCACTGGTTGTTGGGTTTGTACTGGAGCAACCTTTTAAATGGGGGGGGGGGCTCTTTTCAAACAGAAAACTGCAAAACATAGATGGTCACCCTGTGTAGCAAGAGGTGTGGATCTGGAATGATGCTGGAATGATGCCACAATATAAAACAGTCCAAATAGCCAATCTAAGCATTGTAAGCAGGATTGGTAATCAATTAGTGGGAACTGTTTAGCCGAATGGTTTTATGGCCTGTGTGTTCCAGGCCCTGTGCTCCAAGGCAAACTAGATATCATATCATGTTTCCACAAAGTGCTACTTGCACATTTGTTTCTCCTTCATTAAGTGCTTCTATGAGATGGAGAGTAAATAGCATGAAATAAATATCTTGCAATATCACAGACCTGCTGTTAGAAGCAATTGCTTCCCCTTTCTTCCTATCAGCTTGTTGGAGCAGCAGGAGGAATTTACTTTGGAAAACGCAACACTGCCCTGAAAACATCATATCACACGTTTTATATATAGTATTTGGAAGAAGAACCACCATGCTGGCAACTGTGAAATGTTGGTTTCACACTATTTTAAATATCAGTTATTGCTATTTCCTTCTATTTGTGGCTTTCGTGGAGAGAAATGTTGAACAGGGAACAGGGGAAAAAGCTATACAGGTAGTCCTCGCTTACTGACTGCCTTGTTTAGCAACCATTCGAACTTACAACAGTGCTGAAAAAGTAGATTTATGACTGGTCCTTGAACTTATAGCTGTTGCAGCATCTCTGTGGTCATGTGTTCACGATTTAGGCACTTGGCAACCAGCACACATTTATGACAGTTGCAGTGTTCTGTGGTCACATGGTCACCATTTGCGACCTTCACAGCCAGCTTCTGACAAGCAAAGTCAATGGGAAAGCCAGCAGTAAGTCACAAGTCATGGTCATGTGATATTGCACTTAATGACCGCAGGTGATTCATTTAATAACTGCAGTGGAATTGACGTCGTAAGTCCGGCACAATCACATTTCACTTAATGACTGCATTGCTTAACAACAGAGTTGCCAGTCCCAATTGCAGTCGTTAAGTAAAGACTACCTGTACTTTTACTAGTCAAGGACACTCTGAGGTCTGCCATTGCAGTGCGGATCTTCATGGCAATACTTTGGGTTGGTTCCTTACTCAATGACAGTATCATGGGACAATATATACAAGTGAATGCATCTTCACTGATCCAAGTGCTCATATATCTTCACAGAGACAATATTTTCGAACAGAATTGGTTTTTCCATTAAAGCTAGACTACGTATGCAATGCAGCTGAACAGCTTAATAATCTGGTACAAAAAAGCGGAGGTCTACATATTGCAAATAGAAAACTAACACATCAAGATAAAAAACCTGAGCCCAGTTTTTGCTTGTTGTGCTGATGTTCTATTTGTAAGGAATGTTGAAATAGAAGAGTATGCAAAATCCTGCTCCATCTCATTTCTGATCCAAAATGGGCCCCTTTTCTTCTGCAGACTTATGATTCCATGGAATATTATGCAAGGTAGAATCAAATGATGGGTATTCATACACAAATTGAATTTATAATCTAGGAAGCAGGTAATTGCTGGGATGGGACATATAGCTTATATCATGGCAAAATAAATGGACTCTTTCACAAAATTAATATGTACATATTAAAATGTGTTCTAATTGCAACTTGAGCTCTTTTTTTGTCTGTTAAAATAGCTGGTAAGTACTGCTCCTCTCTGATATTAAATCTTTCTCTGATTCACTTAATTGATTCTTCTTACAGACTGTGGGCGATCAGATTATTGGAGTTTTCATCTGCCAAACAGTGGAGTTATCTCTCTCTCTTTTAGCCTCCCAAAATGGCAAGGGACAGGATGTTAACCTGCTGATGCCACCAGAGGGGGCCGGTTGACCATTTTCAACCCAATATTCCCATTTTGGGGTGGTGGGGTGAGGTACGTGGAGTTTCAACTTCTCTAGGTCCAGTAAGCCTACTGGAGTATTTTCTGATCTCAGCCAATCTCCACAGGTCCCTGCCCTCCCTCCTTTGCTTTTTGTATAGCTAGGGGTACCAAGGGGACAGGATGTTGAAGGAGAAATCAAGATCACACTCTGCAGAGTGAGTTAAGGCAAGGCAAACACTATACAGCTGGCTTACATTTTGAAGAAAGTGACATGATACACATTACCATACAGTATAAAAAGCCATTATTAAAATCCCCTAACTGCACCTGCACGGATTCTCTGAACATCCTGCAGGATTCCTGTTCCTATTCTGATGTGAGAAACAGTATCTCTGTGAGGTCCAAGATGAACAGATATCCAAGACTGTAAGATTATTCGCTGTAGCACTGCCTAGTGAGAGTAAGAAATCTTACTATCACACACTAGGCAAGATGTTAACCAGTGAAGTTTATTTTGTTTTTTCTCACTCACAAACATAGAGTTGTTGTTTTTAACCTGAATCAGCCAATTAAATTTCTGTCTCCAACAATGTATCAGTACAGGAGGAGTGGGATGAATGGGCTCCTTAGCTCTTCTGTATCAGTATTATGTATTGTATCAGTATTATCCAAACATGGTTGGAGGAATTACTCCTTAGTAATGCTGTTGGTGTAAACTATGACAGGAAAGAAGAAGTGCAAAATATAAAGCTTAACTTCATAAAAGAATAATTGAGAACAGAAATTAAAAGCATTTTTTTCCTGAGTTTAAAATCTTTTTAGGATCTATATCTATATCTATATATCTCCTAAAAATCAGATTTTAAATTCAGAAACTTAAATTTTTTTTAAAATTTCTACATATATAAATATATATGTAAATATATATATATAAATAAAATTTTGAAGTGCATCTTAAATTTACTTGAAAAAATTTAAAGCAATCACCATAAGAAACAACTTATTGTTAACAAGAGTAATAATGTGCTGCATATAATATTCCAGTATGCTCCTTTGCAGTGCTTAAGTTATCCAGCCAGGTGTTCCTTCATGATATTGCACACCTGACCCAATCAGTTTTGCTTTTTGTTTCCAAGTCTGTCAGCATCCTGTGGTCACTGAACATACTTTGTCCTCACTGGGCTACTTTTGGTTGTTTCTCCCACTCCAAAATGTGTCTTTTTCCAGATGTATTAATAATTAACGTAGATCCATTAAAATCAAAAGCAGTCCCCGGAATCTCCTCATGTATCATGTATTATATGAAGGGAAGTTCAGTCCCTAGAATCTCCACGTCTCTAGTTTAGCAGAAGACCTCCCAGGTGCCTTCCAACCCTACGATTCTATGATTCCTCTGTAAATGCATATATCTAGATCCAGCCCTTTACAGAGGTAGCTGACATCTTTCTATTGTCTGTTGAGGGTGTCCTTTTGGCTGTCTTTGCAAAGGCACTCTGAACCCTGGAAATAGGGAAAATTATGAAATAATATTAAATCATCCTCACACATAGAGCTCTTGGCCTCTGCTAGTCTCTGGAATGTTTCTATTGGCAGTTCCCTGTCAAAGATACTCTGTGATGAACACTCAAAGGTATAACTAGCAATCCTTAGTTTAAACCCATTACTATGAAGGAGGATAGAAGGATTTCAGAGAGACTTAGTGAATTATTTGTTTCAGCCTTCACTGTAGAGGAAGAAAAAGAGAGGAGACAAAAACTTGGGAAATCCTTGGCACTAACTATGTTCTTGTGATTTCTCCTGGCTGCTGTGTGTTTTATTTTTTTGTACTTCTGTGTGTGTGTGTGTGTGTGTGTGTGTGTGTGTGTTTACCTATTTTAACATTGCTAGCCACCAGAGTAATGTATTTGAGATGGGTGGCCATATAAATCTACTGTAAAGATGTAA